CGGGCTCTGCGGCGCCGGAAGAGTATCCCCCCCTCCCAGCAGGCGCACGTAGAAAAAGCTGGACTCTCTCTCTCTCTTTGAAATCGGAGTTAAAATGTTTATCGGGGTTTCATAAGGCCGCAATCCTATTGGCACCTAAGTGCAGCCCCATTTGAAGTATGGGATGGATTTTTCAATAGACACGCAGAGGGTTACATTTCACATCTTATTGAGCTTGTTCAAGAAACTCTGAAGCAAACAAGCAAAAACAAACAAACAACACCGGCAGCTGTGTTCGTGCAGGGATTAAAATAAAATCCACACTTGGCCAATACTGTTTCTAGAACCAACCAATTCACTGATTGTTCTGTTTCTTCTGCTAGCTTTGGCATCCATGGGCCACAACAACACGCAAGGTTTCAAGATCTGCAGAACTCTTCATCATTAAGCTAGGAGGTTAAACAAATTCGGGGATAGCGGAAACAGGAAGTCGGGAAACTAGGCTTAATGAGGTGGTCCTGAGGTCTGCTCCGAGGCTAAACAGACTTTGCTCTCTCAGCCGCTCCGCATGCTAAGGAAGTTTCCTTTCTGCCTCGCTACACCTCCAACGGGATCTGCAGCCAAAACCCTACGCCTGGAGTATAAATAGGGTTCATCTGATGAACTCATATCAGTAGGAGTCATCGGGATTCTGATGCTGCACGAACCGCGTATTTCGTTTGAAAGGAGATTTCTAGGGAACCTAATTTCCATAGAATTTATTTCCAACTTTTTGAACTGAGATGTCAGATTCGCGTCCCCAACTGAATCGCTTGGTTAATTTACAGATTTGGCACATAAATATCTTTATTCCTGCCTAACCAGAAGCCGACACTGTTAACAGCCAAAACACAAGAACAAAACACATATTCAAACGAGAGCAAGTTAATAGTCTTTTAATTTTGTTCACTTGGAAGACGAAAGAAAATTAAAGGAGTTACGGGAAGAAAATCTGCAATTTAACCTGCAATATCAGGACAACTAGGATTTTTTTGTTAATATGATCTCCTATGAACTCTTAATTATATTTTTGTCCTTGAAAAAATGCTTATAAATCCAAGCACTTTTTAAAAAAAATGATTAATGATTCTCTGAATTTCATTTATTTTCGTATGTAAACCCTGTTTTAATTTTTCTCTCTTTAGACAAGCATATTCCTATTTACGACGTTTTACTCTAGGACCTCAAACACTAGAAATAAATTCAACTGAGTTCTGTGTGATTCACACCACTACCCCATACATTACTACTATGAAATGATTTCAACTGAATCCCGAGATAGCCAACTGCCTACAAGAGTACAGGAAAGAAACCTCGTGGCAGTGGTTAAATTGTAGTACTGCAGTCAAGACTGGGCTTGGCTAGAGTTTGATCCTGGGTTCAGGTAGCCGGTTTGAGATTGATTTAGTCCTTCTGAGGTTGGTAAACTAAATTCCCAGGTCGCTTGGGCAAGGGCATAGCCTGTATAATTAAATTGTAAACTACCCGGAGAGTTGTTTAAACACTATGCGGAAGTATATAAACAGCACACTTCGCTTTGCTTTCTTAAATAGGTACAGAACTACTTTGGCTTCAGACGATTGTGATCTGCTTACCACTTTCATTTACTGAAGACTGAATGCAATGTTTCTGCAATACAATACTGTTGTTTAATCTTGCTTTAAAGAAGGCCTATTTTCAGTATTTTTGACCCAACTCCGGGAGGCAGTGGAAGACAAAAGAGGGTCTGGCGTGCTCTGGTCCATGGGGTCACGAAGAGTCGGACACGACTAAACGAGTAGCAACAACAATTTTCAGTATTGCTGCTTTCAGAGCACAGAGCCATTTATGCTGTCCAGACTTTGTGACAGCTCATTAAGCTATTCTGAGGAAGCCAAAATAAAATAAATAAACGAACCAGTATTAAATTGATAGTGTCTTATCACTGAAATCATGCAAAAGTGCACACGAGAATTTGGTCCTCTGGTTATATGACAATTCAATATCTAAGGAAAGATTATTTTTCCCAGTCCATCATAAACACAAGTTAATTGACTAAGCAAAACTGTACAACTATCAGCCTCTGTTAAAATTTTGTCTCCCTGTAGATGCATTACAGGCAACGATCTTCTTGCTAGTCAATTTTATTTGGTTCTCCTTCAGGTTATATGAACCAGCTGAATGTTTAAAACTGGGAGGCAGGCTACGATGGTGACATCTGCATTCCAAACATATTTTACAACAAACCATGGAATTTTACCGCAGACATTTTAACCTGCCGGTTTTAAGACAGGTTTCGTGGGCACAGCTTAGCCAGATGCCGCCAGGGCTGTAAATGTGAGGAGAATCACCACCGCCAGCAGCGGAATCGGGTGCCTTTAACCAAGTAGCCAGGACAAATTTCTCAGAGGTGAAGACCGTCAGGCAAGCACACCGAGAGGGCACACTCGCCCTTTGGAATCGGGAAGGGAGAAAGAGGAGGGGAAGCTGGGTCTCCGAGGAATGTTTTCATCGCGCCTCTCAGCCCTAAACCTCTTTGGGTGGGGAAAGCGACGGCTCGCTCGTCTGGATGCACCTGGCCGAGCAAAGGTTACTTCATCCCAAACCCCAGCGGGCTGCCCAACAGGAAGCCTCCCGTCCAGCTGCAGGGAATTTGGCGGGGGAGAGAGAGCGGGATGCCGGTTACGCACCCCCTGCCTATCCAGGAGTTGTGGTTTTCGTGGGGGGCGGGGGGGTGAGAGATGCACGTGGACTGAGCCCAGCCATTTTTGCTTGCGGGCGGGAGGGAGGGCGGACTTCGGAACAGCCTCCGAAGGCGCAGGGCCCCCAACGCCCCGCCTCCTCTGGCGGGGGCGCGGCCGCGTTGTTTCCTCTCGACGGCGGCCCTCCTCTGGCACCGCCGGGCCTGAGCTGAGTCGGCAAAAGGACAAGCTGGCTGCCTGGAAGGAGGGGAATGCCGGCGGGAGTCGAACCAGCGCCTGGCCGTGGCCTTCCAACGCCTTCCCGGCGCTGAGGCTGAGAAAGAAGGCGTCCCTTGCAGGCACCGGGGAGAAGAGCGGCCTTTCTCCCTCCGCCGCTAGGCTGGAGGCACGGTCCCCTGGGCACACATACATACACACGCACACACACACCCGCTCCCTCTGGCGCCCCCCCGTCACGTGAGCAGCCGGGGAGGGAAGGGGCAGAGCAGAAGCCTCGTCCTTCCGCTCCCAGGGCCGGAGAGGTTCGCCCGCGTGCAAAGAAGGGGGGCGGGGGGGCGGCCTTCCTTCCTTTCTCTTGGCCCCAGTCGTGGACCCGACTCCTCCTCACCCGAGAAGGGGACAGAGAAAGGGAGCGGGAGCAAGGCTGAGGGAGTTCACGTGGCGCCCCAAGCCCAGGTGGGCAGGGGAGAAGGGACCCCTCGTTTGCCGGCGGGATGGGGGTGGGGGCTCCCCCGCTGCTGCCTCTCCCACCCACGCAGGTGAAGGCACCCGTGGGGCCACTTTGCGCGGGAAAGACTGGCCCCTGAGCGGCGGGGATAAGCCTGAGGGGAGTCAGCCACGTTGAGCGCGGCCGCTGAAACGAAACGCCGTCCTACGGTTCGCCGACGGGCCGAAAAGTTCGCTTGCACGACCATCCCTCCCCGTCCCGTCGCGGGAGCCAAACGAGAGGCTGGGCAGCGCTCGCCGAGCAGCGCGATTCGGGCTTCAGCGCCTCCCGCCTGGCGGTCTAAACTAAGTCCTCTCGAGGGAGTCGGACACCCCGGATGGCTCTTCAAGTCGCTCCCCGAGCTCCCTCCGCCGCTCCTGGGGCTCGATTTGGGGCACATTTCGGGAGCCACTTACCGTCTTTGGCATTTAGAGGCAGGCCGCCTACTGTGGTCTCGGTTCTAAGCGATCTCCAGCCCAGTGACTAGGAAAACCCTCCTGAATTGCACATAATCCTGAGCTAGAAAGGGGGAGGGGGAGGGGAACCAGTTTTGTCTGGATTTGTTAAAACCAAATCCTCAGAGCAAACTTTGCTTTTCTCCAAACTGTATGCCAAGGGAGCAAAAACAGAGAGAGAGAGAGATTCGGGAGACTTAGAAAACTGTTCCTCTGCCGCTACGGCGCTGCACAAATGGAGATGTGCGGGAATTGAGCTATACCTAACGTCCCTTTCTCTGGTTTAGAACTGATGCTGTCCAGAAACTTATATTAGATTCCGTGGGCGATCCGTATGGAAGAGAGGGTGACACTCTTGTCTCAAAGTGTGGGCTGCTAGCAGGACTGAGGCCACCGAAACCGGGTGGGCGGCTCGAAAGACGTCGAAAGGCTCCCTTTCTGGAGACACAAGGGAAAGCCATGGAGAAGGAGGAAGCACGGAGGCCGTGCTCAACCCACTGCTCGCTAAGGAGTCCTTCCCGGTTCCCTGGAGTCTCCCCCTTCCCGGTTCCCTGGTAGGCCCCCTCCCCAGAGGATTTCTGCCTACAGGCCTGGCACAGAAAGGGAGAGAGAGAGAGCTGGGAAGAGGCGATCTGGAGGCTTAGAAGGTCCGAGTTCTGCAGTACTTAATTCTCCGATAAGAATAGGTTGAGGAGCTCAGGCCGGCTGGAGGTCCCTCTCTCCTTATCTTAGGTACGTGCAGTATACCTGGTGCCGACGAGGAAAAGCAAAACTCTGCACGTGGCTCGAGATACTCTCTACCGCTTAACATCTTCCGCAGCAAAACTTGGGCGGCAAGTTGCGGCTTACTGTCGAGGGTCTCTGCCAGTCGTGAAAGCGCTGCTTGCACCACTGGCGCCTGCCTAGGCTGGCTCCCCCTTGGAGAAGAGCGCACCGTGACTTATGCTGGCTCGGGGCAAGGCCTCGTGGCAACTGCGCCCGGTCGCCAAGAAATACTGTCGCTTCCTCCCGCCGCATCCTTCGCACCCCAGGAGTGACTGGGGGACGCCCCCACGTCTTGGGCTGTCGCGGGTTAACTGAGCCCAGGCACGGAGGGCCAAGGGGAGACACCTCCACCTCCAGACTGGAAAGTGCGGGGCAGCAAGGGTGGTGGTGGTTGTCTTTGTTTTTCTGCTTCGAAAGGAAACTACGACTGCCCTCTTCCAGAGTCCGTCCCACATCCACTGGCCTGAACGACCTACAAGCATAGTCGGGCCGGCCCTGCCCTTTTGTCCGGCGAGGAAAGAGCTGAAGCCTGAGTGACTCTGGTTGCCACCGGGAGTCCAGGAAATAAAAGCTTCCAGGGCCGATGCCTCCCGATCCCAACTGGAGTAGATTATTGAGAGGCGGGCAATGCCAAGCCCTCCAGACGGGGAGGACTCCAGGCCCCATCAACTCCCGTCGCCACAGGCGGTGGTCGTGGATGATCAGAGCTGGAGTTCGGCAGAAGGCCGGGGAGCCACACATTCCGCACCTCCGGGCGCCAGCATCTGCGGCAGCTCCTCGAGGGACGGGTGACAGGAACGTGGAGAGGCGTCCAGAACTTCCTGAGAAAGGAAACGTGAATTGCAGCAAGGTGTAAAATCGAAACACTCGCCTTGGCACTTCAGAAGAGCCGATTTGTCCTCCTAAATGAGGTTAACTTTGAGAACCTGTGGTGGTGATTACTAGCAGGACCGAGAGTTAAAACCTTAAAGCCTAGAGATATTTTCAACACTACACAGTAATTTATACAAATACAGTACGTGGAGACCAACAGATTTTACTTGGCAAAGAGCAAAGGAAAAAAAATAAAAGGACAGAAACACTGGCAACTTGAAGACTAACTGCCATATTTTAATGTGAGCGTTCGTGGATAAGTCCACTTCCTCAGAATAATTATTTATTTGGCATAATAAAGTCTGATTTTATTTCTTCAGATGTTATTCGGCCTAACATTTCCTGGACGGCAGCACCAGTCATCCGGTGCAACAGGCTGCAGTCCCGGAAAGTCTTTTGACTCTCCGAGGTTCCACACGACTCTTAAAAGACTCTTTTGTTGCAGCAAAAAGAACAAACGGGGCTAATTTCTCACTCTCAAAACTGAAATTTTGGAGCCCTGAAATATTTTTTAGTTCAACCCCGGTCAGTTAATTCCACCCCGGGGGAGGGGTCGATATTGAGCAGGTATCTGTCGTCAGCGGGATTCACGCCCACCATTGAATCAGTTGTCATTATGTATCTCATTAATGAGTGTAATCAATTATTCAGTGGTAATTAATAGGCTACTTAACCTTAGACTCTAGAAATATTTTCTCCTGAGGTTAAACTGATCCAGCGGATTATTTTTTCCTTGCCCCCCCCCGAAAGAGAAAAAGGTGCGAAGTTTTTTTGTTAATCTCTGGGGAAAGTTTGGATCGGAACATCAAAATTGGAAATATTTCACAGAGGTCTCCTATGTTGCGTTATGGTTTAATGCTCCGTCGCTCAAACTTTGTCAGGCCCTTTTAGCCAGCTTTATCTTTGGGGAAGGGATTGGCTATTAATATAGTATTCCGTTGTTAAGATACGTATTTATATTGATTTTATAGATACGTTAAATACGCAGATAATGGTTTGCTTTTATCCATTTATTTTTAAATAAAATTAACTCCATTTCTAACTTTCCCGACGGTAACTTTAAAGTACTTCCAGTCTGAAGAGCTGCATTTCTAAATAACTTCATTGATGCAGAAATTCCTCTGCGCCCAACGAGGCTTCCTTCTAAATAAATTACTGCCATACAGATCCAGCATGTCAAAGGGAATGCTTGCCAGTGGCTTTATGGGGACCATAGATTTCAGCCAATGCTATAAAGACTCCCTGATGACTTCCTTCAATTGCGCTTATTTCTCGCTGTGCGTGTACAGGATTGCAGCCATCATAGGTCTAGTGACGTTAACCATGTGCCAGTTCTGATTATCTGCTAAAGAGTCTCAGCCGAAATTTCCTTCGATATCGTTAACGATAGCGTGGAAGGACATGTTCCCAAGTGCTTTGAATCCGACAAAAATTCGGGTTGTGTCTCCAGCTTTTCTTGGGGACTTTGTAAATGTCTCTGTCTAGAACGGCAGAGCTGAAGTTCCATGAACGTCCCAAATCCCTCGAAGCCCTGGTCCAGCGACCAATTAAAGAAAAAGTAGCAAGTCAGTTCAACACTGAGGGAGGATTCCCAGAAGGTGAATGACCCGCACAGTCCCAGGATGCTTTGGCCCCAGCCGGCTCAGCTGCGAGAAAAGAAGGGCATTTGAGGGCGCTTGAGCCAGAAAGTTCCTGCCGAACTTCAGATGCCCCCGTCTTTTCCCCTCACTCCGCTTCCAAAAATGGTCTGCGTGGGTATACTTTTGCCCTTCCCCAGAGAGCGGGGAAACGCATTCGCACCGTTTTCCCTGCGTACACAACCCATCAAAGTTTTGGTTAGACGCCAATCCAATTACAGTCATTAAAAGGCAGCTCAGTGAGATAAAAGTGCAGCGGGCCAGCGCTCCCTCCTTCCCCTGCTTTCGAAACAATATCGATCTTCAGCGGCCTGCCCTACCTCGGAAGCGGCCGACCGAGGTACAGAGCTGATCGGCGTGGCTGGGGGGGATGGGTGGGTTTGAAGGTTTTTTTTTTTGCTCCTTCCCGACTCTCGACAACAACAACCCCCCCCCCAAAGATGACACAGACAAGGGCTTTTATTAGCTTGGATTTTATTATCGGGGTATGTAGATAAAGGGGAACGATCTGCCTTACATTTCAACAGGTGACTGTTGGGATAACGGCGTAAATAATCAACGTTACAATTTCTTCCCCGAAAGACCGGGGGACCGAAAGAA